GTATGAGGGCCAAAGCAGCCTTGGACCAAGGAAGTGGGTGCCCATCTGCTCAGCCCATTCTTTGGCCAGATTTCTCAGAGGGATGCAGGGTCTCGCCTTAGGAAGTGTCTACAAGTATCCACACATCCAGAGTTATGTTAGGACTTAACTCCCCGCTGCCCCTCCACAGGTTGATTATTGGATAACTTCTGATTTGGCTGCAGATTCAGACGTACCTGGTGCCTGTTGTGTTGTCACTATATTTCTATTATCTGCTCTCATCATGGTGTGAGGAAAGGTATCGGTAGGCAGCGAAGCCCATACTTGGGATCTGAGCACTACGGCTCATTTGTCTATACTTTTGGTTCTTTCTGGATTTCGTCTTCATTTAAACATCACGGATCTGCCTGCACCAATAGCTGGATTCAAAATACATTAACTGGGATTCAGTCAAGTTTTAACATGTTTTAAAATACTTTTAGAAAGGTCAGCTCTTAGTTCAGCTTCCCCCTGTGCCATAGTGCATTAAGAAATGCCAGCAGAGGAATATTAGGGGCCACCATGTCCTCTTTAGTGTGCTCTGATACCTCATCAAGCCCAGTGCAACATAAGAAAGGTTGAGACAAAGTCTCAGCCCAGCCATGCTGAGAGGGCTGATATGGCTTGCACTACTGTGCTGGGTCTGGAGTTTAGAGCATGGCAATGTTGTTCTTTCTCCATCTTAAGAAAGACTTTGTGTGTTGGCCCACATTCTGCCTTTTCTTTTATACACATAAGTGAAGTGGTCTCATCCTGCAGTTTTCGACTGAATCAGAGCAAGGGATATGTTTTGCCAAAGAGCTTGTCCTGTTTGGGAATCCCAGAGGGCACCCCCCTCCCAGTGCCTGTCCTGTAGACTGATGGATGCTATACAATGTTTCTTCTACTTCACTTGAAAGTGGTCTCTTTCAAGTGATGAAAGATATTCCAAACTGAGAAAAATAAGATGGTGATTTTTGGAATTCTCATGGCTCTCCATCTTTGGTAGCACACGTCTGCCTTTAAAATCTTTTGCCAACAGCAGTTACAGGCTGTGGTTTTCTTGTCTGTGTGAGGTGACTAACAGCACAGCACTCTATGGGGGAGTGGTGTTCACCTAGCACCCAAACCACCTACTGGTTTCCGGTTGCCTTTATCAGCTAAGCCATCAGGCCTGGCCTGACATTTCAGCTCTGAGAGGCTCCCCATCCCCACCAAAAGAAAAAAAATGTGACAGGAGGAGGGAGAGGCTCATTTGGCAATAGTTGTGCTTGCCGTTTGGCCTGGAGAAAGACGTTCTGAGTGGTGGTAGATTGTTCAGTAACAGCTGGCGAGCACCAGGGTGTGAGGCCGCTTTTCAGTGATGACAGCCACTTACAGGAATGCTGCCAGATACAGCTGTTTAAAAGCCTTAATAAACAGCAAGTCAATACTAATCCTGGCCAAATTAATCTTTTCCCTGACAGCCCATCACAGCAATTATGTTTGGGCTTATTGTAAACACAAAATTGTCAAACAGGGACACACCAGACTTTAAAAATACTGTAGTTTTGTTCATAGAGGGTTTAGAATATCTGGTCATTCTTTTTTTGTTTTTTGTTTGTTTGTTTGTTTTTCTTGCTTTTGGCCTCATGTCAGTCAGTGTGAGCAAAATTTCACTTTTCAAAATCTTTGCTAGCAATCATGCAGGTGGGCTTCTGTAACTAGCCCACGGACTGATGAGGCTGAAATACAACCCATCATTGCTCATGGGTGTCCACCAGGGAATTAGGACTTCAACTTCACTTTGTATATTCTCTGAATCTGGATACAAAGGTTTGGTTATGTATAAGACAGCCAACGGTGTGTGTACACTAGATGCCACTGCTTCTAACTCAACCCTGAAGGTTTTTCTTCTCTTGGGGTCCCAGCTTCCTTCCCATTCCCCTTCCCCAAATACCTGGAGATATATTTGTTGGGAAATGTTTTCCCACAGAAAAATGGTGCCAGATGAAGGCATGACAATTGCCTTTGACTATCTTTAAAGTAGTATTATTTCTTCTTCCCCTTGTGCCATTTAGTTAGGCTCCAGAAAATGAATCTTTCTTTATGCATCCTGTTCTTTCATCAGTGTTTGAATTTAGCATCTATACATTTATTTCCCCAGATTTCTCTCTTGTTCTCAGAACTCCTACGTGTCTAGGACCTCTCTCTCTCTTGCATTTTCTTGATATGCTGAGGCTGTAGAGTATATATTTTGCTTGTTATGACTAGAAATCTTTCTCTCTCTCCTTTCCTTTTTCTTCCCTCCCTCTCTCCTTCCTTCTTTGCTTGCTTCCTTCACTCCTTCCTTTTGGGAAATTTTACTCTGTAGTCCTGGCTGGCCTGGAACTTGTTATGTAGACCTGGCTGACTTTGAACTCCTGCCTTAGCCTGCTGGGATGAAAGGTGCATGCCACTAGGTCCCACTTTTTAAAACTTTTGTAGTCTTGGATTTCTTGGTGAAATATTTCCATCCTTTCCCCTTCATAATGCTTCCCTTTAAGGAAATATTTAATTTGTTTTTATATTTAAAAAGAAGTATTATGCAATTTAGGTTGAAATTAATTTGTGGTGTTTTCTTGCTTGTTATAACATTGCCTTTACTACACAATACTGTATGCTATTTTATCCTAGTTAGAGATATGAAAACCACTCAGTTGCAAGGAGAGAGAGATCATTTGACTATGAGTCAGAACTTACTTCACTCTTGGCTCTTGTTTTGCCCTGTTTCAGGGTCCAGTCATGAGCAACCATTAGGGAGTTTGTTGTACATCCATCCTCGCTTTCAAGTGAGAATTAACAGGAAAATAATAAAGTTGGTCAATTATACCAACTATTATGAGAACAGCTATGTATAACAAGTTTTCATGTTTTAGCAGACTACTTATTTGTTATGAATTTCTACATGTAAGTTCCTCCATCAAGGACACTGTGATCTATTAGAATCTGTCAGTTTACTATATTATTTCACAGGCCATAGCTTTCTAAAATGGATTCTAAGTGGAGTACTGAATAAACAATGTATCAGTTATTCTTTGAGTGTTTCTCACTTGGTCCTTTGTAAAGTACTTCAAACTGCCTCAGGAATTTTATATATAAAGCTATAGCTGAAATCATAATTATCTCTAGTTCCTTCATACATCTTCTGATGAACCATATGAAATGACTTCTCAAACATTTTAAAAGGGTGAAAACTGACCATGTCACATGGGTCAAGCTAATGACTTTTCATTGAGTGGGGCAACTCTTTCGCATGGAAGGAGACAGATGGTGACCCTAATTCTAAGTTTTGCATTCTTAAGTTTAAGAAATTTCTTTAGAGTGAATCTGAGCTAGGACAGTATACATTGCTTTTGTTAATCCTAGTGTTCTGTGCACAGCTTATGACCCGCATAGAAGGACTTCTTGCCTTTTAGAAGGCAGATAAAAGTTATCCTAGAAGACAACTTCATCTTTAGCTACATTCCCTATCTGGATCCCCTGCAAGCCATTATTTGACTCATTTCCCATCATCAACTCACTCTCTTTCAGATGTAACTCTGGGTTTTAGATCATCATTCTTTCATTGTTTTAGTGATAAAACCCAGTCCTCTTCCTTGGAATACTGTTTTCTTTCTCTGCTGAGCTAGAATTCTGATTTTGAATATGCCAGTGAACATACTTTATGTTCCACACCATTGTTGAATCTTAGTATGACTTTGCTCTCTACCGTTTTCCTTTGGGTAGCAAGTTAGCTGAGTCTATGTTGTCTGTGTCTGAAGATGCAGAACAAAAGACAGGATTTCTCTGGTTGGTAAGAACCACTCACGCAGCTTTGGGAAAGAACCGTTTAAGTCAGTGCGGCTGTTAGCATGTATGGTGCTCAGTCACTTCTGGCCTGGAGTTTACATGAGACCCTCAACTGACTTGGCATGTCCTTCAGAATCTGAGAAATCTCCAAGTAGAATGCAGCCATGTGCTTCATGAGTTTTATTGATAATGTATTTTCTTATTTGGTAGATTTGTTCTTTTTTGTCCTGATCACATGCCTGCTGGAAAAGCTGCAGACAATCTCTTGGACAAAGGTATGATACCTTTCTCAGTTTAAGCTTGGTGCAGGAGAAAGCTATACTGTTTCATAATGTAATAAATAAAAGACATTAGTTAATTAGTAGTGTGTTATATTTCTAAAATGCTAAGCAGCCAAACAATAAACTGTGAACTTAATCACATGAGTTCTTATACAATATCAAGACAGGAAGATTCGAGCTCTCAGCCCCAGTCATTTTAATAATAACACTGGATCTGCATTATTTATTAGTTATTACATGCTGAGTGAGTCAATGTTGTACAATGCCTGAAAATCATTTCTAAGCAAGCAAGGCTTGTGTCTTTTTAATTCTGGCTGGATTACATATTGTATTTATATTGAAATTGCTGAAGTTACTTCATACATTCCACAAAGTAGCTATTCTCTTGATTTCCAGCCAGATTAAGGTATGTGATACAATCCCGGTGGAGGGAGACATTTGTTCACCCCTCCCTTTTGTTGTAAAAGCTATGCACACCTCTCTTAACACACCTCAAGCAGGGACCCAGGGTGTTTGGAAAGGGAAGAAGGGAGTGGATGAAGGCAGAGACAGCAGTACCTTCAACTTCAGGCCGCTGCTTCCAGTTCTAGCTGCTTTTCCTATTTCTCTGGCTGTCTGGTCACTCACCTTTCATTTCTAGGTTGATTGTAGATACTAAGCCTTTTTCGATTTCTTCCTGAGCCCTTGGTCAATTCTTAAATATTTTCTGGATGCCATGAGAAGCATGTGGCTTGAGGAAATTCTGGTGACTCAACTTCAATTTGACTTTTAATGGCATTAGGAAGTGTGAAACAGATCATTTTAGAAAGAGGGTGCGCTCGTGTTTGTTTAGGCTGGGAGTGTATTGGTTTTCATTCATGTCAACAAAGGGTATGCAGAAATACAGATTAGTTACTCTAATTTGCTACTAAATGAAAAGCAAATTTGGTTTTATTTATGTCACTGTAAAAACTAAGTAATCAGTATTCACATCAAGCATGGATCTTTTTTTTTGCCAGCAAAAATTAAAACATCAATGAAACCTCTTTCAAATACTAACAAATTTACTTACAAACACCTATATTTATTATTTCATAAATAGGCGCAACAAGTTCCATAAAAAAGATTAAATACAGACATGGTATGAGAAACAATAATAGAGAGTCATGAAGATGATCGCTTAGCGCTTTCCAACCTGGTTCTGCAGATCCTGGTGGACATTTGGCAGCTTTAGACATAAAAGGACTCGATAGATGACATTTACTAATCATTACACAAAAGTGATACAAAAAAAGGATTTTTTTCTGCAATACAAAATAAATGTGTTTGCTCTTCCCTCCACACTTGGTTCTTTTTGTCTGATCAATAAGACAAAGCCAATTTGTTTTTAAATTAAAATCATTTGGGAATATTTTTCAAGTATTTTGAAAATATAGAACTATTAGTCAGTTGTTTTTAAAAATGAAGTAAAAATATGAATGTTTGCCAATTTAACCCCTCTGTCAAATAAACAAACTGGGGTGAGCCAGTTTCGAATTACAATTTAGCTACAAAAACATTCACATTTTATACTCTAGGAGAGTGTAACATAGATGCTATTTACAAACTTGCTATGACTGCTACATCAAGCCATTGAAAAAGTCTTTAGTAGTTCCATATAAACACCCATTATGAAAACCAATGGAAAACCCAGGACCATTATTACCCCAGACATCTACCGTTGCTAAGGCAGTTACTAGAGCGCAGCACTTCACAGCAAAACCAACAGAAATCAGAATGGTCCATACTTCCTTCAGGGAAGAGGAACAATGTCCATAAAAGATTAAAAAAATAATAACGAAGCATGACTATTTCTTCCAGAGTGGGTGACCCACAAGCTCACATGGTCCTAAGTGCTTAGCAACTTGTATTTTCTAATAAAATGAACTGCCTTGAGCGCACAAAGCAATCCATGATGAAAAGACTTCCCTGAATTCCTCAGTGGAAAGGAGAGGCGTTGAGATTTTCAGGTGAGGTACAGTGCTTTGTCCCTCTGCATGCCCCTGTGTGGAGAGAAAACATAGTTAACAAGAAAATCAGAACCACAGTGGGTCGGGTTGGGGGCGGGAGTGGTGAGGGTCGTATTATTTGTTCTAGCTCGGTGGTGGAAAAGAGCACAGGTAGATGACCTAAGTCTACAGCAACATGAAGGCATTTATTCTTGGAAAAGCTAGAAGATGGCTCCACATTTTTTTTTTTTTTGAACTTTACTTTGCTGGACATACCCCTCCCTTGCCCATGCGGAGGCGGATGCTATGAGACCCTCCACCACCAGGTGGCAATGGCCGGCTGCTTACCCACTACTGCAGTAGTCGTTATTCCAGTCCACCGGCTGTTGGGGAGGATTTCTGCACCCAGAACGCACGTACTCCATTGCTTGGGTGACAACTTGCGCGGCTGTAGATGTAGGGTTGATAATAGTCTGATAGTCGGGTTGAAGAGTAAATCCCTGGGGGGAAAGCAAATCCACATTTGAGAAACGCAGTGTCTTTTAAAAGAAGAAAGCAGGGACATAGTTATCCATGCCTGCAAACATGGTAGACCACCTTGCTGCTGAAGGAAACCAGAGAAGCACTCCCCACCCCACCCCGACTTAAAGTAGAAAAGAAGCATCTACCACCTCAAACGCCTTTCATTACACCTTTGTGCAGATACATTGAGTTGGGCAATAGTTTAAAATGCAGAAAAGCCAACTCAGTTCAAGCAAAGGAAGAATGACTTTAAGCCCCTCACAGTTGAGGTTCTCTGTCAACCCAAAGACACATTAATAGTTAATCCCCATAATAAGCAAGGGAGTCTTCCTGAAGGATTCAGGCAGCAGGTGGCTGACTGTTATTAGACTACACCTATTCACATATTGTTCTTAAAATCCTTGTCTTCATTCAGTCACAATGGGACCATCTGCTCTGTCTTTTTCTTGTATTCCTCTATCAGCTAAGAATTTCAACCAAAGCTTTTTTTAATATTTTATTTTCCAGTTTAAATTTAGATAAGAAACGAGGTTGCTTCACAAGTCAGTTCCAGGTCCCTCTCCCATTCCCTCCCCTCCTCCCGTGCCCTTCCCCCAACCCCCCCCCCTATCCCCTCATTTCCCCAGGGAGGGTGAGGCCCTCCATGGTGGTGTCCATAGTCTGTCATTTCATATAGGGCAGGGCCTAGACCCTTCCCCAAGAGTTCAGGGTGAGAGTGCACCTCACATTGTTGCTATGGGAGTCCAAAGTCTGTGTGTATACTTGGGATGGGTACTGATCTGCTGTCCAAGGCTCAAAAAGCTTTTTTTAAAATCAGTTATTGGACAAATTCAGGGAAAGATATGGAAAACAAGTTACCACTGGAAAACACAGGGAATAAAACACATAAAGACAGCAAACACTTTTAAGTGAAAAGTCTCTTAGCTGGCAAACAATACTCAGACTTCAGGAAGTTTTTTTTTTAATGCATTAGTATGGTGAAGTGTTGACTTTTAATCCCAGTAAAGCTATTAAAAATTCAAGGACAGAATCTGAAGTATATAGCTATATCTTGTAAACAAAAAGCATTATGCACATTTTATTTTTAGTTTATCTGGTGAATTCAAGAGCAGCATAAGCAGGCTTTGCTGGAAGTGACCACAGAAAGCAGCTTAATTAATCTCATGGTTGTCTCTGCGGCAAATTCTAGCCATGGTTTTTAGCACCCAAGAAATCAAGATTACAATTGAACCATGCTCTGACTATTTACAAGCAGCTTTGGAGGTGAAATACTGTTGATGATTTTCCTTACACTCAGAGAAGTTGTGAGAGGGTGGGTTTGTAATTAAATATATTTCCTCAGACTTTTTACTCATGTGTGGGAGGTCCCTCAACATAGTGATAGGAAGACCACATCTCAGATCAAGTTTCCTTAACCCCTGGTTGGCTTTATGGGGTCCATTGATGTGCCATTCCAATGATAAGGGCTGTATAGACCCTTGGCCATGTCAGCTCCCATGAGACTGTGGAGAGAGGCAGAATTCAGAGTGATGGGAAACAAGTCACCAAGAAGTCCAGAGTTCAGTCACACTGGTTGCTGCTGCAAGGCAGACTTAAAGCAATAGATTTCCTAGGTAACAACTGCCTTGTAGGAGGCATTCCTGAATAGAGGCCCCAGTAGCTCAGGCTGAAAGCATCCCCCTGGGGGAATGCAGTTTCACCTTTCTCTAGGTCTTTCTGGATTTCCAACATGGAAGGAGTCTTACTGGCCTCAGTGAAATTCTCTCATTCCTCTGGTCCTGTCCTGCTGCCCACCTTCTCAGTTTCTTTCCCTGGTGTCCAGTGTGATGCTAGATGGAGGGTAGGAAGAATTCCTGAGAGACCCTGTATTGGTTTCCTTCACCATGGAGCCCATTTCCAGGGTGCCTGTGGGACAGTGTGATTAGTGTTTGCAATGCTTACAGGGTCATCTGAGGGCCTAGCCTTCAACAGTGATTCAATAAATTCTCTTTTTCAAGAAATAAAGACCATTTGATGCTACTGTGAGAAAGGCAAAAATGAACACGTGACTGTCAAGGCTTATTTGTCTTTTTAACATAACATTCTCCATTAGATTTTCCACACAATTGACAACATGTAACGTAAAAGCAAACAAGGATGAAAACAAAAAGGAACTGGAAACATCCCCCAGTTAGCTGAAGGTGCAGACACATGGAAAAGTAATACACACAGTGGAAATAGTTCCACAGATTGAGTCAGAATACAAGGAAAACATTTTTTAAACTACTAGCTTAATACAAAACCATATGTAATCTACAAAGTTCCAAGACAGAAATTATGCTACCTTCAAAATCTAAATAAATCACCTCAGACCAAACAACTAAAGACCAAGAAAAACAGAGGTATAGACCAAAGTAACTATTTAACATTTTGTTACTTTCAAGATAGAAATGGAGACATTCCTCAGAGCACTACATACAGAGATGCTGAGGTCAACCCTTGCGCTAAGTACTCTTCTATTATGGATGTAAATAGGAAACAACAATGATGACATAAATTTTTTGAAAAATGTTTGCTTAGCAGTCTAATTAAACGAGACTGAATATTCTGCATTTTAATGCTCAGGAGAAAAATCACCAACTGTTTTGTAGCATGCCTGGAATTTTAAATTTCATTTTCTGGTGCCAGATTGGAATAAAAATAGGAAACATGATAAAGATTAATTTGATGTCAGAAGGGACATTTGCTCTTTAATTAGATTCCTGTAGCCCTCACAGTTTTGTTTTGCTCCATAGCAAGTCTGAAAAAGCCTGTAGCACCACCAAGCAGTGATCCTCACAGCCACACTTTACTGCAAACTAATTTCATTTCCTGCCTGTCTGGAGAGGTATTTGCAACAGGCATCAACGTTTTGTCTTTATGACTGATTTATTCATCAATCTCAATGTGATTTAAAAAAAAAACTTTAAATTACACCCAAATCCTAAAGCAGCTGCTTATTACATAAGGAAATTGAAAATCTGTCTGTGATACCTTACAAAGATTTTTTTCTTAAGGTTATAAAGGAAAGTGACAGATATTAATGATATTTTTCCCTTGACCTCATTCCCCAATAAACGTGCACTGAAAGACAGAAAGAAGACTGAAACAACAACCAAAAAAAGTGCATCCATGGGCTCAGTGTATAAGATATTCTTAAGAAAATAATGGAACTACCATTCCTGGTACACTAACCATCATTTTTATTGTTGTTGTGAACATCCATTTCCAAAGGGATAACAAAGTATCTACAGTAGTACTGAAGTGTGACACCATCTTTCAAAAGTGTAGTAGCTGTTAGCTTTTTTTCTGTCTTCTCCCCTTTTGATACTTAGATAGGAATGTGGACAGCACACTAGGAACCTAACAGCTTCAGGAAGAGGGTGGATTGGATGATGAGTCAGGCAGGTCAACTTCAATCTACAGGCTGAAATCTCATTTATGACGTGAACAGTGGACACAACAAACAGTTGAGAGTGTACCGCATCCCATCTGTTGGCGCCAACGCTTCCATCTTGATTTTAGGATGGTCAGTTGATAAGAGCTTCCAGTCCCTCTAATCTGCAGGCTCTTTGCTGTTTACCTGACCATGACACAGATACTGTCCCCATCTTTATCATCTCTTAGAAGCTATTCTTCAGGTCTTTGCTGGAATGTCCTCACGCCCTTCCTACCCCACCACCACTCCAGCCCAGTGTTTAAATGTTGTTGGTCTTTGCATCTTTAGTTTCTGCAACCTTGAGAGGGCTGTGAAGGTGCTCTACGCCCTTCCTCCATGAGCTGGTTTCTTTCTTTATCTTTGCCATTGGATTTCCGCTCGTTGTCTTGTTACCATCACTTCCCATACTCCAACTCTAGGGAGCATGGGTATCTCTCCCTGGACTCCTAGATCATTTAAGTTTAAGAGTTCAGGCAGTGCCTGGCACATGCAAAGACTTGTCTAAATTATTTTTATCTTAGTAAATATTTTTTTAACTTCTAAGGCATTAAGACCCTACAGTCAAATCTACAATTTCTCCAAATAGTATAGCATACTGATCATTTAATTGCTTAGAAGTTTATCATTCCATAGTTATTTTACTAACAGCCTCCATGGTCAAGACATTGTTGGAAGTGATTTTCAAAAATACCATTTTTGTGGCCATTTTTCTTCATTGTAAGTTCCTTCCATTATCTTTTATTCTGAGCTCTAACTCCAGACACTTTTTGCGATACACTAACAAAGCTGACTTATAGATTGATAAATCCCTTGTTCAAACCAATGTGAGCTATTCTCCACCCCATATTTAGATTCTGATGGTGAGAGAAGTCTCTTGAGCTTGTACAAGTAGCCTCTTATAATTCTCAAATATCAGAAAACTATTCCTCGTGACCCTTTCCCTAGCCAAGGTGTCAACATAAGGAAAAGAAAGAGACATTCTTGAATGGCTAAAATAGGAAAGGACCTCCTTTCTGGATAGGTCTATCCCTCTGCCTATGGACAGGACTCTGTCTTTGTACTTTTTCCCTTGGGAAGAAGTAGATGAACTACAGCATAGTGATCAGCACAAGCCAGTGTCAACCCACTCAAGCGATGGTGACAGCCACACAACTGCTTCTTCTTCAAGCAAATACCATTGACTGACTATAGTACAAAGGCATCAGTAGTGCCCATTTCCCTGTAGGCAATGTCTGATGCACAGGGTGAGGATTCTACCCCATGCATATCCCTTGGTCATAAACATGCTTGGAGACAGGGCTAGAGGTTGGAAACAGTTACCACCAAGGTCTTTCCTTCTAGTGATTCAGCTTTAGCAACAGGTTGTGGTGTGTAGGTAACAAAGTTAGCTACCAATATGTTTGGTTTAGGAACCAAGAAATACAGTGATTTGATGAATTCCTTTAAGTTTCATAAAAGATTTGATTTTACAAGTAACTAATGTTTAAAGGTCCTCTAAAGACTTGAAAGACACAGGCATTTGGATACAAGTCTGTTAATAACGTCTGAGAAAGTGTGAGGCTGAAAGAAGTCACTGAGTATCTAGAGCAACACTTTCTAGTTCTGACCTGATCTAGGTTCAAATCCCACCTCTCCCCTGGTTAGTTCAGTGCTCTTACCTGACAAGCCCCTGAGTCTCTGTCCACAGAATGAGGACAGGGCTAGCAGTAGCACTTGTACTTTTCTGAAACTTTAAGTGCTAAGTACTGGCTTACCTGTAGTCAGCTTTCAGAAATCCTGTCTATAATTATCATAATAAAATACATCTTAGACTTCCTAGATGTGGCTCATCTGTCTGCTTTCCCTTCCCCTACTGTTCCTAGGGTAAGCGTGCATCCTGTGTACAAACAGCAAAATATGAATTTTGCAGGAGGGCTGTGCTGATATGTTTACTCAGAACTCTAGGAAAAGATGATAATTGAATGGCAAAGTCAGTGGTTAAGTTGGCTATGATTGGTAGTTTTTTAACCATTGCCTGTTTTCTAAAGTGAATATTTTATGTTCCAATGAGTTTAAAGATGCTTCTAATTCTCAAATTATGAAAGTGCATCAAAATCTGAAAGAATCTGAAAAGAAAACTTGATTCCAAATAAAAACTAAGCAAAATTAACCAGATACCTCTTCTGTTTTCTTATTTCTGCAGACAGACCACCGCCGCCACCCCCTCCCCCCATGCATTTTCAATACTAGGGATTAAACCCAGGGCCTGTTGCAAGCTGGCAAAATGCTGCTGTCACCCCAGTCTCCTTGTATACATTTCAAAATGAAGCTCCAGTTACTGTTTGCTTCTTAATGTTTTTAGATCTCTACTAAATTTGGAATTGAATCTGATTTCATTGTATACCAATTATTGAACTCAAGGGTCATCCCAGTCAAGAAAGTCTCATTTCCTAATGGCATTAAAAAGAAATAACAGACTGACTCTGTTTCAGCAAGATCCATGATACACATGGCATCCTAGCACATGTTTTCACTAAAGAAATGGAAACCAGAAACAAAGAGGCCACCAGCAAGGGAACACCAAGTTGATATATCTGGGAAAAGAAACCAGTGATCCAAAAGGAAGCGTTATCAAGTCCTGGAATGGTAATTCTGACAATGTGCCATTTATAAATCATATTTTGCAGATGTAAGTCTGCCAGATGCCCATAGTTCTCTCTCCATTTCAATAGAACAAACACCCCTCTCATCTTTACTTGATAGACAGCCCCACCCCCAGCTCTCCAGAGGTGCCCAGAACCTAAGTATAGAGACTTACTTGCTGCATGGTGGGCGAGTGTAAGGCAGACTGGACCTGTATGGGGAGCTGGCTCCCAAGGGGCTGCTGCATGGCAAGTGGCTGCTGCTGCTGCATGCTGAGATGCTGGTGAAGAGGTGGGCTGATCTGGAGGGGTGGTGGTGGGGACACAGCCATGTTGGCTATGGAGACAGTCACTGGCATTTGGTTGTTCGGCTTGGGCGCTATGTTTCTGGGGAGGCTTGGATGCATGGCAGTGAGGTGAGGATTCATCCCTGGTTGTTGGTGATAGTGAGAACTTAGGTACAGGGCTGAGTGGGCCTGGCTGGGCCCGTGGAACACTGACGGCTTGGAGTTGACCAGCTGGGGTGGCTGAGATGACTTCACATCAACAGGATCACTGTAGCTCTGCAAGGGAATAAAGGAGAGCAGCGTTAGGAGACAGGTCTCTGAACACCGTGCTATTCCCAGGATGCTTGTGAATTCTCTCATGGACCTTCATGAGAATCAGCACCCATGACTATTCTTATGACTCTCATCTAAGGGCTCTCCCATCGTTATTTTTTAACAGAACTTATACAACTCTGAATTTCTACCTCCTTTATGGAATCTAAAGCAAACTGTAATGACATTTCATTCTTTTGCCTTCACCTAAATGCTCTGCTTTGACTGACTATTCTGGTCATCCAAAGAGAGATGAAAAGATGCAGGGGGGCACCATTATCACCTTCAGGTATCTCACTTTCAAAGTAATTCCGTTCAGCTCTCCCACTGATCACATGCTTAGTTTCTTCTCTTTGTGTTCTCACAGAGCCTTAGTCCTAGATATTTCCACAAAGAAAACAAGGCTGGTTGATAGCAGTGGCTATGGAAGAGGTCTAAAATACCTTCCAAAAGTCATGGAAAATCATACTAATATGTCTTCAAAGGAACCACAGCCTTATCTTGATTTTTTTAAAAAGGAGTTGGTGACAAATTGTTCCTACTAATGAAGTAGATAAAAATAATCTCTCTTTGATATTTTAGATGTCATCATAAATTAATATAATCTTGCCCTAATTTTTCCACACCTAATAACCTTTTAATTGACTTAGAAACCAGACATTTCAGTGGAAGCTGAACAGAATCAAAGATTAACCCTGTGGCATTACCTCCTGGGGAAGAACCTAGCTCTTCATTTTCTGAGAGAAGAGATTGACGGAACAAGTACAGAACGTGAATCCAACAGAAGGGGAAAGGATCAATCGTGTTTCCGGAGAAGAAAGCTGCCCTTGCCAAACCAGTTTTGGGGATTGGCATACACTTTTACTCTGTGACCTTGATGTGGTCCTGCTGTGGTTCACAAGGCAATTCTGTGCTCAAGCTCTTTCTCCCCATCACCAATAACCAGGGAGGAATCCTCTTTCAGGATGCGAGGACGGTGTGTCTGTGAAGACCTTTATTTCCCTTCTGCTTGGGCAATGTTACACTCTCTCCACAACCTGTACTATGGATGGAAATCAACTTAAGCTGGCCAGCTTCATTACCTTAGGCCATTCTGAAGCACTTTGAGCAGAATGGTGCAGCTCCTCCCAACAATGTAGGAGAAGCAAACGACTCACCGCAAGTATGATGCTCAAGTGTGCTGGATTTCCTGTGTTTGTCTACTGTGGTTGATGACTCCTAACCCCATATGTGTGGTCTTATATGAAGGATAGATATGACCCCTTCGAAAATATGCCAAATGTGCCTATGTGTGAAAATGTCAGGATAAATTACGGAAATAGACTATTACAGTGACCCAAAACAGGGCTCACTGCAGAGACAGTGGCTGTGGAGTGACCAGCCTTGATCTGTATCTGCAACACAATCTCTATGCACAAGGCTCAGGAAGCATCACTATGGAGGCGGTGGAAAGACTGTTAGAGAAGAGGACTAGGATATCTTATTTAAGATAGTGCCTTCTAGCTACAAATGTTGAAATCACAGAAGCTCAACAGTATGACTGCCTAAACAAGACTTGCACAATTACAACATTAATTGATGTGCCAACATCAATGGATGTATGAAAGTGTCTTGAAGGGATAAGGAGAAAAGCTCTTATGGAGATCTACAACAGGTTAAAATGCAGAGAATGTGACATGGAGGAACTCAAGTCAGACTGTTTCATTATCACAGGCTAGTATGCAGCACTGTGACCTACAAACACACACACACACACACACACACACACACACACACACACACACCAAAATATGAGAATCTTGGACTCAGATAGGTTAAATTTTCTGTACAGAGCTTACAGAAAGGCATATCAAGGAGCCCTAAGCACTCCACATCCCGAAGATCATTTTCATTAGTAGAAGTGGAATAGAAGTTTGTATTCCTTGTATTCTATAATAACCTCAAAATGCCAAAAAAGTGTTTAGCCAGAATTGTAAAAGGGGCTGCAGACATAAAGTATTCATGAAATGTAGTTCCTGGGGGCACTTTCAATTAAAGAAACTTCAAATTAGACTATGTTGCTTCTGCTTTAAATTCTCAAATAAAACAGTTAATGGTGCAAAGCAAAGATCAAAGGATTAACTGAATTTTTAACATAGAGAATTTTAGAAAACTGTATATTCATTATACTCTTATGTACTGTGTGTTTAGTGCTGTCCACTAGGGGTTGGATAACTTATCAGGTGACCTTTCCCTAGAGAATGGGGATTCTTCCTTTCTTGGGTCTCTTAGAATACATTGAATGCCTATAGCTTTCCATCTAGTCTTGTAAAATGTAATTGTGCAGGTCTTGTTTAGGCAGTGTCTAAAAGGCACTATGACAAATCAGATGTCCTGGTCCTCTTCTCCAACAATATTTCCACACCCTTTTCAGTGGTTTCTTAAACCTTGTATATAGGGGTTGTGTTGCAGATGCAGATCAGATCTGTGGCATTCTCTGCATTTGACCTGTTGTGGATCACTGGAATTACCTTTGCTTCAAAAATGTTTTTTTAAATAAGGGATGCAAGCTACACTTAGCTGTGGATGTTCATATTTAAAATACAGTTTGAAACTATAATGGTTTAGGACAATGGCAGTCATAGATTCTCTTCCTTGGTCTATAATCCTTGTAGATACAGGTTGCTGCCTATGTTTGTAGTACCAGGGATGAATTACCCCCTATTGGTTAACCCTTAACTCCAAGTAGACAGTTGCTGGTTACCTCCAATATGTAAGCGCCATTACTGAAGCACTAGCGATATCTTGTCAGGCTGGTTATGGTTTGTAGGTATGAATCTGAACAGAGAGTTCTCAAAGGAAGAAATAAAAAATGGAAGAACTATCTTTTTTCTTCTTTTTTTGTTTTTTTTTGAGACAGGGTTTCTCTGTATTGTTTTGGAGGCTGTCCTGGAACTCACTTTGTAGACCAGGTTGGCCTCGAACTCACAGAGATCCGCCTGCCTCTTCCTCTCAAGTGCTGGGATTAAAGGCGTGTGCCACCAATGCTAGACTTTGAAGAAATATCTTTAAATTGTGTTTAACGTTCTTATCAATCAGGGAAACACAAATTAAAACTACTTTGAGATTTCATGGTATTCCAGTCAGAATGGCTAATGTCAAGAAATCAGCTGACGACAAATGCTAGTGAGGATGTGGGGAAAAGAAAACCCTCATTCACTATTGGAAGGATTGCAAACTGGTGTAGCCATTATGTAGATTAATGTGGAGAATTCTTCAAAACCTGAAAATATATCCACCAAATAGCCCAGCTCTACAAATCTTTAGCACATGCCCAAAGGACTTGACATCCCAGTCCACAGATACCTGCTCCGTCATGTTCATTCTCATTCTCTTCACAATATCTGCAAAATGCAAACACCTTAAATGTCCTTCAACTGATGAATGAGTAATGTAAAGGTGGCACATATGCACTACGGAATAATATTCTGATATAAAAAGAAAATTAAATCATGGATTTTTCAGGTAAATGGATAGAATTGGAAAATATTACACAAAGTGGAGTAACCTATACTCAAAAAGATGAACACTGCATGCATGTGGTTCCCAGCGTACAAGACGAAAGTGACCACAGAAGGAAAGGAAGCAGAGGTACCATGGGAATCAGGGTTGGACTCCTCTCTCTCTCTCTCTCTCTCTCTCTCTCTCTCTCTCTCTCTCTCTCTCTCTCTCTCTCTCTCTGTGTGTGTGTGTGTTTAAGGAAGTTATGGCATGTGGGGATGTAATGCTCCCCCTCTGAGCCATAGACTATCTAACAGAAGCCCCAGGGTCAGGAATATACACCCTCTATTTGAGTTGTTGGTCAGAGGAGTCCAAGAGATTACTTAAAGAATGCTCTTGTCATTGCCCTCTGTTACCTCCTACAACTTGAATAAGAATCCATTGCTGAAGACAACACATGCTTGGAACATAGGACTTAGATGAATTGATGTAGAACTTACTGGAGATCCCTCTCTATGGAAGAGATTTCATAGTATGGGAGGGTTCTTTTTCTTATGGATAATTAAATGTAAATGATTCTCTATTAGTCATTTGCCATTTATCTTCTTCACAATAAAGAATATAAAAAGCAGCTTGCATCCTAAAACTACTTTGGAATGCCAGGAATATTTACTCACTAGGACTATTACTTTCTGAACTAAGTAGATTTCTAAAAACAATAATTTGGAGAACACTTGGAATGGAATTTTTGACACAGAGAGAGAATATTAGGAAACTACATGCTGTTGCTGTTGTTTTTCTCCTTACTTGTAAGCAGTTGAGTTTCACATACTAAGTAACCTGTTGGGCCATTTCTGTATGCACTGCAGACATTCCAGTGAGTTCTCTTATAAATTACTGTTGGCCCATTTCTGCAGACACTCAAGTATGAGTTCTCTTACTAAATTGTCTTTTTACTAAGATGACATAGATGAAGAAAGAGATATTTTCACTGGTGGGGACCTGTTTCTCCATGGCCTATGCAGCTCGAACAGCTCAAAGAGTTCATGAATTAATGCATGAATGACTGCTGTTGGGGCTGTGTCCCTCTCAGTGCTGCTGTCCTTGCTGAGATCTGTTACTTAGACATATCCCCCTGTTTCCCAAAGACTACAGAAGGATCTCTAGGCTTGAAAACACCATTGTATGTCCAATCATTTTTCTGTGTTTGCTTTTTTATTTTTAGCATGCACTGTTTTCTGTCTGAAAGAGGAGGAATAACAGCTCTTCATGCTGTCCTTTGGTCGGATATACTACCATTCAGTACCTTCATTTTAAAAAATAATTTTAAAAATGTTTTGAGATTATGATATGTCATTCCCTTTTCCCTTTCCTCCCTCCAATACCTCTTTGCTCTCTTTCAAATCCAGTCCATATAATGTTTCTTGTATATTTGTTTTCAGGGCAGACAATTGGATATTGGATAAACAACAGGTGTGCTGTTC